AAAACGCTAGATGTCACTGTTTTTTTAAATAAATTTTTTTTTTTTGGTTACTAATGTCATTTAAAAATATGTTCTTAGAATAGAATAGTTCACGAAAAAAATCATCTTTTTTCGATGTATTAGATTTTAACGAATGAAACATGTTATATATAGAAATTTATTTTTATAGTGCTTCAATTATAATAAAGTAAAGAAATGTTTGTCTTTCTTTCAATTGAAAAAAAAAAAGTTTATGTCAATACACTCATATTTACTGTTTATTTTTCATTTGCTTGAAATTATTACTGTTAGACATTTTGACATGAATGAATAAATGAATGTGTTTTTGTAGAACTAAGCAATAAACAGTTATATTTCTTATACATAATCAAATAAAAGGTGCGCTGCGAATGTTTTGTTTTTTTTCTACATATACTTTTAAGTATTTCTGAACAAATTCTATATCAAATAAAAAAATAATTAGATCAGAAAGTACAAACAATATTCTATAGACTTTGGAACAAAAAAATCGAGGCATATTGTTTATTTCTTCACGTCATTCATAGATCAATATGACTTCAACTAGCAACAAAAGTTTTCTTGTTCATATATACATTTGATTTCTTTTTTTAATAGAAAATTTTTTTCTTTCTCAAAAAAAAAACAAATCACTCGAAAATTTTTTCCGACGTATTTTATTTATGCATGATATCATAATTGTTTTTATGATATGTAACAACACAAATTTCGTTTCTTTTTTCTTTTCGTTCTTTTAACCAAAAATAGTTTCATCGTCATTTTGTTCTTGTTCTTCTCCCTTGCAGTTTATAGTCCACCTCGGGGATAAACGAAAAGAAAAAATAAGGACAACAAAGCATCTACTTTTATTTCATTCGTCCATTTTTGTTTTAATTTTATTCAGAACAGAATATATCGATTTCGTCTTTCGTTTTTTTTTTTTGTTTTTGACCATTTAGTTTTGAACTTAAATCTTCATTATTTATTTATCAATGTAAGAAGTTTTTTTTTAAATAAAATCATTTTTCATTTAATGAAATTATTTTAGTATGGCTAAATATTTATCTGCCGACAAAGAAAAAGAATTAGTCGAAACTGCTAATCACCTTATGGCTAAAGGCAAAGGTTTATTAGCAGCTGATGAATCGACTGGTAAAATAAAATATCAAACTTGAATAAATTTTAAAGAAAAAAAAAATATTCTTATTTAATATTTAGGTTCAATGGCTAAACGTCTTCAATCAATTGGTCTTGAAAATAATGAAGAAAATCGTCGTTTATATCGTCAAACACTATTTACTGGTTCAAAAGATCTAGCTAATCATATATCTGGTGTTATTCTTTTTCATGAAACATTCTATCAAAATGATGATAATGGAAAATCATTTCGACAAACATTACAAGAAAAAGGTATTGTACCAGGTATTAAAGTTGATAAAGGTCTTGTACTATTGGCTGGTACCAATGGTGAAAATACAACACAAGGTCTTGATGGTCTTGGTGAACGATGTGCACAATATTATAAAGATGGTGCACGTTTTGCTAAATGGCGTATGTATTAAAATTGATCTTTGACCTCAAAAAAGAAAAAGAATATCTATTGATTTAGGATGTGCATTAAAAATTGGTGATGGTTTACCATCTGAATTAGGTATTCGTGAAACAGCAAATGTTTTAGCACGTTATGCATCAATTTGTCAACAAGTAATTCTAATGAAAATTATTTTATAAAATAATATAATTATATTTTATCTTTTTTAGAATGGTCTTGTACCGATTGTTGAACCAGAAGTAAGCTGAATATATTTTGATGAGTATTCAATTGTTTTTTTTTCATATCTACTTTTATTTTAGGTGTTACCTGAAGGTGATCATGATTTAGAAACATGTCAACGTGTAACAGAAAAAGTCTTAGCTGCAACATATAAAGCACTTAGTGAACATCATATTTTCTTGGAAGGTACATTACTTAAGCCAAATATGGTCACTGCTGGTATGCAAAAAAAAAAGAAATTTGTTTGTTTTTTTTTCTTTCTACGTTTATTTATTATAATTTAGGTTTTGATTGTAAAAAAAAATATTCAGCAGAAGATGTTGCTCGAGCAACAGTAACAGCATTACAAAGAACAGTACCAGTTGCTGTACCAGGCATTTGTTTTCTTTCAGGTTTATTTAATTTTTTTTGATTATTATAAAAAAAATTTTCTTGTTTATTTTTGTTTTTCTTAAGGTGGTCAATCAGAAGAAGAAGCTTCACTTAATTTAAATGCTATTAATCAATATAAAGGCAAGAAACCATGGGCATTAACATTTAGTTATGGACGAGCACTTCAAGCTAGTGTTATTAGTACATGGGCGGGCAAATCAGAAAATGTATCTAGTGCACAAGCTCAACTTCTTAAACGTGCACAAGTAAAAATTAAACATTGTCTTTAGTTAAATTCAATTTATTTATTTAGGCTAATGGTGCTGCTGCTAAAGGTGAATATAAAGGTGGTGCTGGTGGTACAGCTGGTGAACAATCATTATTTGAAGCTAACCGAAACTATTAAGACTAAAAGATTCCATTAACTAAAATAGTATATAAATCTATTATTTTCCCTTTGTCATCTTATATAATCTTTAGTCCTCTTTTTTTTCTTCATAAGTTCTTCGACAAAAAAAACCATCAATCGAAACTAATATTATCTATTTAGTTAGTTATTCATTGTTCTTTTAAGACTTTTTTTTGTTTTCTGTGTTAGCCTTTAATAAGATCAGAATCCTGATAAAAATATAAGTGGCAGTTCTTGTCCATAAAAATATATTAAAATAAAAAAATAGTCATATTTTATGATATGATGTTTATGTCTATTATTTCAGTTGTTGTATAACATATAATTTATTTATCTTTTCCATTGTTGATAATATATTTCATTGGGTACAAATGTTTACTCGGCAGCGCTAAAAGATAAGATAAACGTGAAAAATAATATCGTTTATGAGAAAGACAAAGATTAAAAGAACTAGATTAAAAATTGAATAAGTCGAGAACCCAAGCAAGTAGTGAAACGCAGTTTTCAAAAATTGAAAAATGAGACATAATGACAACTCTTTCTCAAATAATATGTAAGACAAAAATCATTTTGAAATCAATAATTTCCACAAAAGAATATATGAAAATTGTTTATCATTGGCATGCCAATAAAACTGTATCTGCTTGATCGAATAATATGAAATTTTTATTTTGACACCAAATTTTATTAATTGTAATCAAAATTTCATTGGCATAACGGATCATTTTTATAGAATTCATTGGTTCAAAAATGATTGTATCCTGAGTGCATTATCGGAGAGAAAAACACTCTTGTGTCTATGATTTCGATTGCTGCAGCAAATTATAGATCACTAATTACTTACATTCTCGACTTATTTAATTGCTAACCAAATACCCTCAAGGTTCACGCCGACATCATACTAATTATTCGTTGGACAAAAATAAAAATTAATCAAAAGCTTAAATGAAATGAAACAGTTCTAGAATCGAATATAATTCATGTGTACTGATAAATTACGAATCGAAATAATTTTAAAATGAATATATGTATATATTCTACCGTTAGTTTTCAATTGGTTACTATAATGAAATCAATAACTAATAACCCGTCGGGTTGGTCTCAGGTCCAGATCCGAAAATTTTGAATCTGACAGACTCTGATTTAGTGAGGTCATATCGTTTTCTTTTTTGTCATATAACAAACGGATGCGGTAAGATGAATGACCACGTTTTGCATTTCATCTGTTCAGCATTGAATTGATTTTATTAAAAGACAAAATATATCACAAGATCTAGTGACATTTTTTTGTTTCCAAAATGAACAAAATTTCGAGCGTGCGAAAAATGGTCGCACAGAATTTTGCTTGTTTTGAAAACAGTTACAATAAGCTTTATTCTGTAAATTGTAGAGCTCTTCACGCTGCATCTTTTGATATATTTCGGTTCTTTAATACAATATATGAAATAAATGAAAATTGAAATGAGAAGCACGGTCATTCAACCTGCTGCATCCATATTATAAGTTTAAATTAGGATCAGTCTGTTTAACCATGGCAGAATCATGTTTGTTATTTTGATTCCTTGATATAATTTAATCGGGTAAGACTGCATTTTTTAGAAGATGTTTAAGCCGCAGTGTCCTACATGTTAATTTAAAGATAGGCCGACCTATATTGGAATCACTAGCTATCGATTGCAAGTTTGAATATTGTGTAAAGAACTAAAAACTTTCGCTCAATTATAAATATGATGAAAAATCTTATTTGTGAAGTTAATGAAAGTTCTTTTGAAAAAAATGCAATCAGAAAATTAACATGTAAAAATCTTCATGTTTCAGTGTATAAATTATCATTATTTTTGTTTGATTTAATAAGAAAGTTGCCTAACAAAATCTACAGTTACATAAACATACTCGGGTCATGACATTTAACAAATATAGATTGACATATGGCTTTTATATATTAAAAAAAATGAACTCGTTTCTCAGTGTGGCAACATGGATAAAATCAATATTTGACATTTTGTGATAAGTAAAAAGTAAATCTACAATCTATGCAATTATTATTTAGATTGATTTAAAAAAAAAGACCTCGAATATATCGAAGATACGGTAAGCTATTATAATTATTCAAAAATCATTTTGTTCATTGAATATGTCAAGTATTTAGTGACATGAAATTTCAATGATTGAAAAACCTATTGGAAACAAATGTTTTTTTTTTTGTTCTTATTCTTCAAATTTCCTTCTTCATTACATATGACAATAAATTATTACTCATATGAGAATCAAAATTTGAATATATTAATCAAATTTATCTGCTTATGAACGACATATCTTCATAACGATCTTGTTCTTTAAAGATAAAATTGATCGGTGGGATATTTCATTCATTAGCATAAAATAATTTTTCTATGAAAAAAAAAAGGTAAGAATTTATTAATTATTTAAGAAATCAAAAAAGAAAAACTATTGAAAACATTGATTTTCTTTTGGTTGACATTGAAATGCTTGAGCAAATTCTGGCATATGAATAAGAGCAACATTTAATGCTGTTCTTTCATCATAGACACCTAATTGTGTTCTTAATAATTGTAAAAGTTCTTGTCGTTGATAACATTGTGTTTGAGCATAAGAAAGAAAAAATGTTTGTTCACTTGTAAAATTTGTTCCAGGCATTTTAAAATTTTTTATATCATTATTTTTTATTAATGTACCATAAGCAAAACGTAATGCACCTATATGTCGAAGAGTTGTTGGTGAAAATGGTTCACCAGCTAATTGAACTTGTACAGGAACACCATTTACGTTATATGTTATTGTTTTTAAATCATTTACATAATAATTAGTTATACAATTACGACTATTATTATAACTAATTATTGTTGGTGTTTGCCACCAATCATAACGTGTTCCATTTGGTAAATGTGTTCGACCTGAATTTATTTTGAATACAAAACAAATATTAATGATAATTAATATAACTTACCTTCAGGAATATCTATACTAGAAAAAAGTTTTTGAGCAAGTAGAACACCAATTGATCCCATATTTACAGACCTAATAGACAAGCAAAAAGAATAGATTATCTTAAAAGTTAAATATAATTACCATGGCCATTGTGAATTAACAAGTGGTTCATGCATACCACTAGCAATAATAAATAAACGATTAAAAAGTGAAATATAATCAAATAGTCGATTTGTTCGTGTTTCAAAAAAATCCCAATGATCAAGTAGATTTGGATTTTTTATTGAATTTGATAAACTCCATCGATAAAAATGATGATAACTATATGCATTTTCAAGATGTGAATTATCACTTACAACAAACTATATTTTGATTTATAGAAAAATATTCAAAACAAAAATAAAAAAACAAATTACAAATAATTATATTCTTACTTTTTCATAATAATTATCAAGAGATGCATCATCGGATGCAATTGCTGCATAACCAATAGCTGCTGTTAGTTTATCAATTTTGTCTATAGCAATATTTTTTGTTTCTTCATCGGCAATCCATTTTGCTTTTTCACTAATATATTCTTTAAATCCATTTTTTAATGAATCAAATATCGTTTGAACCTAAAGAAAATAAATATTATTTTTACTTTTTATTCAATAATAATAATAAGAAGAAGAAGATTTTACTGTTGTAATAGCATTAGTATATTTTGTTGAATTCATTGTATATAAACGTTGAATAGCAAGTGGAAAACGACGTACAATTTCACGTATACAATAAATTTCATTTGATGTATGTAATGTATAACCATAATAAGCATTAAGATAGACTCGATGTGCATGAACATAATTATATGATAGATCCTCAATATAAGTTGAAACAAGACGCCATCGAAGATAATTATGAATTTTTCGTGCAAATATTGGACTAAATATTATAGATGATGAGAATAGATCATCACGAGTAGAACTAAAGTTTTTATAGACTCAAAATTCCCGAAATGCTGACTTTTATCACTAGATCCTATCTATTGGATATAATTCTAGCTTAAAAGAGATTAAATCTTCCTTCATCAGTGAATTCATACTAATTTAGACATCCGATAATCAGAAAAGTAAGCAAAAAAAAAAACGCTCGCATCACGAAAGGGAGGTGGAAGAATCGGTCATAAACTAAAAATTATAATTTACTCATTAATATTTGTTATATATTCAAATGCATCAGTAAAATACATATTATTTAATAGATATATAGGTGTTAATATTGAGATAACACTTTCATCACCTAATTCATGTGCCATTAATTGAGAAAAATTAAACTAAAACAAAAATTTTTATTTCTTGATAAATTTATTTTGTTAAATTTTACCGAAAATTGTTCGGAAATGGTCTGTAAATTTGTTGTTCTTGGTATATTAGATGTAGGATTACGTTGAAGACTCTAAAGAATAAAATAATGTTTTTTTTTTGTTTTTCTTAAATTTGAATTTATAATTAATATTTATTTACATACTTCAGCTAGAAATCTTTCAACATCAAGTACATCATTAGCAATATTAGCCGTTCGAATACCTAGATTACTATCATTTATTCCTGCTTCTTGAGCAAGTAGATTTGTGACAGCAAGAATATATATTTGAAAAGCTGCACGACGCTAAAAATAAAATAATTAGTAGATTATTTCAAATGAAAAATAATGAATAAAGATTACTATAAAAAAAAACAAAAGAGTAAAATAATAAATTCTATATCAAATTTTCAGAAAGCCTTACACAAATATTAAGATAATCTTACTTTCAAGTGTTTATAAATACACAATGTGAACGATTCTAGAAAAGACTTTTTTTCAAGCTTTAACTTGAATAAATTTTGAAAGAGTTTTCTTGAAGTCGACATTAAAGAAAAAATATTTATTCCACACATCTCTAGTTGTATGTGATGAAAAAATTATAGTTGAAATATCTTACGCTGAATGCGCATAGCGAAAGCAAACACATTCAAGTGTCTTTTCGAAAGAAAAGAGTTTTACATTTAACAAATTATTTTATTTATTAAAGCTAGAACTCACCCATAGAAAACGTCTAGATCCAAAATCACATTTTTACATTTTCTTCCTGCGCAGTTTCATTTATCTCTTGCGTCTCATGTATGTCCGCTTGTAGGAACGAATTTGAGAATCAGAGGGCTCTGTGCGTCCCAACAAGCTAAGCCTCTGTCTAGTATAAAAAAACAACTTCATAGCAAGAGCCTATTTAATTTTAGTTTTTTAATACATTGTATTTAAAGACTCTCGTCCTATCCATCAAAAATCGATCTTGTATCAAATACACTCAAATCGCATAAAACTTTCAGAATATGTATGAGCTATGGTATAATTTTTAGTCCTATATGATGACGTTTTCGGAAGATGTGCTACAAATAAGAGTCAAATTCTATATAATTAGTTTCTGCAGAGTATGGCAGTGTAAACCATTTATTTTTAAATCTTACGTTTTAACGAAAGGAAATTTCAATATTTCAAAAAGCGTCTGCCGTTTCAATGTCGAGAAAAGTCATTACCTCAACGTTCTTTATGAATGGTCCTTTATGATATTTCGAAATCTAACAATCAAATTATTTGACTTACTGCTGTTGATATGGGATCAGTAGCTACATAATCGTTAACTTCCATTGTTAGACCAGCTGGAAAGAACTTACAAAAAAAAAATTAATCATTTATAATTGTTTTATTTTGTATTATATTTTTTATACTTCAAGTCGTTTTATACTTGTATCATTTTCATCAAATCTTGTACGTATACCAAATACAGCCCTGACACCTAATAAAAAACAAAAATAATGAATTTCATATAAAAATAACACTTTATTGACATACCAAAATCTCCATGAATATGAGACATTTGTTTATAAAGACTTTGATTTTTTAATAAAGTTTCTTGATTAACATCTGCACCACTATTATCAAAAAGATACCAACCATCAAGTGTATCTTTAGCTTGTATAAGTCCTATCATAAATTTTCCACTATCAGGTACTCGTGCATAATCATCTAGACATTCGGCATAATATGTCTAAATAATTTTATATGTTCCAAAAAAAAAAAAAACGAAAAAATTTTTTCAAACAAACTTTTATTTTATATTCCCAACTTCGTTCATCCGTACGTAATATAGGTGCATCAAGAAGACGTTCAAGTTCAAAATCACGTCGATTAATAATATCACCAAGTATTGTTCGTTCAACATCATATGATTGTATAGGATGAGTTTTAACCCAACCATCACATGCATATGTATAAAAATCTGTACATAAATTTGATGATGCTATACTATTTATAGAACGTAATTGATGTGTTGATGCTGATATACAACCTCGTGTAAGACATAAATCATTATTGTTAACATATGAAGTATCTATATTTGTATTATTATTGTTTTTTCGTGCTTGAACAATAACAGTAATAAGTAATGAAAATGAGAGTAAACCAAGAAATATGAAAGCAATAATATAAAGATGTTTAGAAGTTATACGACTCGAAAAAGTGCCAATTTTTGGAAGATTAATATTTTCTGGTGAAGACCACATTTTTTTTTACAAACAAAAAAAAAGATTTTCTTATTCGTTGTCTTAACTTTTTGTTCTTTTATTACTGATAACTAAATAAAATTTGACTTGATGTCTATAGTACTGATAACAAGATCATCTTATATAAATATAATAGAGAGAGAGTACAAATACTTTTTTTTTCTGCTTCTGATATACGAATTTTTTTTTATATATTTATAAGGTAAATAAAAAAAAAAAGATAAGATTGAAGATATTTTATATGTATTAGTGGGACCATGTTTAAATAGAAACTAAATAATCATATTTATGATAAAAATTCGAATTTAAATAATATATATCGAATATTTTCAAAATTCTACTCAATCAATTGTTGTTTTCACTAAGATTTTGATATACAAAAAAAAAAATTTGCCATTATTCATAGGAATTGAAATATATGTGTAGCTCATACGAAAAAAGTCTTAAGATTTTCATCATTCAATAGAAATTATGCCAATGAATTTAAACATATAAAATAAATTTCATTTTAGTTTGACTGAATATGAATACTATTTTTTATTTTTGTTGTGAAAATTTTATTTTTAATAACAACAAGAACATTGACAATATTATAGTCAGATAGACGAAACAAACACAGACAAAAATCTATCAGACAACAATATAAGATTTGTTCATCTATATTGGATAATTAAGTAGAACATCTTGTCTTGCTAATTCAAGTAACATTGGATCATCAAAGAATTTATTAATACTAACATCTTCACTAAGACCCTAAAAATAAAGAATACATAATTTTGTTTTTTTTTTTATTTTTAATATTAAAAATTAAATTATTTACTTTTCGTCGTCGTGTTTTAATCATAAATTCTCTTGCTAAATGATTTACAGGTTGAGCTTCTAATGGTCGAATAACAATTGATTTATCAAGTGGATCACCAGGAACAATCTATATCAAAAGCCAAAAAAAGAAAATAGAAATTTAACAAATCTATATAAATAATAGAAATTTTAATACACACCTGCCAATGATGGAATACTGACATACAAAATGCTTGACCTTGTGTATGTGTACGAAGATCAGTTTCAAAACCCATTGAATCAATAGCTGGTATAAACGCTTTAAGTGTATAAAGTGGTGAACCTGGTACTGGTGCATCAAGTGTAACATGACCACTATTTAATGAAATTTTTTTGTGTTTTATAGATTAAAAATATAAGAGAATACGTACCGACGACGACCAAGTACTGTATAAACAGCTGATACACAATCAGCTGGAGCAACAACTTCAACAAAATAATATGGTTCCATAAGACGAGGAGTTGCCTAAAATAAAATAATATAAATAGTGCAGATTCTCTTGAAAACTGAAATCTAGAAAACAAGTACGAATTGATGCTATGTTAAAGAAGCAATCACTGATGCCATGGGCATCTCTTCTTTATACTTGTTATCAGTGCGCTCAAATTGTCCGTACTAGTGACATTAGTTATTTTCGAATTTTATTATTTATAACAAATGGTGCCAGAAAAATAGTCATGAGTTTTAAGACTTAAATAATAGAAACAAGTGTGGCATATCGAAATCGACTTTTTGAGTACTTAGGTCAATGATTCCGACACGTTCTCTTTGTAACCGGCGATTGAAGCCGATTACCGAAGTACGATAAGAAAAAAAAACCCTAATTCTATACTCTTTTCTTGGTTTACAAATTTTTATCTGCATAACAACAAATAACAGTAGTATTAAAATAATTGATTTACTTCTGTGTTTACAATGGAAATTTACTCAATGACTTTTAACTCCTATTACTAAGTTTTGTTATATCAATATGAGTTTCATAAAAATAAAAGAAATACATACGAGTAAGAAAGATGAATAAGCAACACGTCTAGCTGTTGGAATTAATTGACCACGACCATGATGAATTGGTTCTTGTGCAATAGAAGCATCAAGAATTTTAAATTTAACATTTCGAATTGCTAAAAAAAGAAAAATCAAAAACAAAAACAAAAAAAAGATTTTTTTTTTTTACATACGTTCATCACATAAAGGTCCTTCTCTAGTTGCCCATTGAAAACCTTGTACAATTGATTCTTTAACAGGTTCCGATGTTAATAATGTTTTATTAACTTCATGTGATAATGTATCATCAAGAAGAATATTTGGTCCATTTATATCTGGTCCAAATGCCCAAATTGAACGACTAGCAAGTATATCCCATTCATAACGATTTTGAAAAAAATCACTTATACGTTTATTATTCCAACCAATTTGTACAACTTCTTGTTCAATATCTTCAGCTATACCTTTTTCTAATGGTTCAGCTATCATTGTTAATTTATTTCTAAGAAAAAAAAAAAAATTAATTCATTGATTAACAAAACAAAACAAAATTTTTTTTTGATTTTTACTTTTTATTTGGTGTTTCAGCAAAACATTTTAATGAAGATGTTTCAACAACTGTTTCACAAAATGTTACAACAGGATCAGCAACTTTGATTTCTAAATAGATAAAGATTACAAAAAAATAAAATAACGATAATTAAATAATTATAAACCTATTTCTGAATACATTCGACGAAGATCATGCATAACACAATCAAGATAAAGTTCACCTGTACCAAGAATAATATGTTCACCTGATTCTTCAACTTTTGTATTTAATAATGGATAACTTTTATTAACTTTACGTAAACCATCTAACATTTTTGGTAATTCAGATGGATTCACCGGTTCAACAGCAATTTTTATAACTGAAGTTGTATTAAATTTTAATGGTCGAAATATTTGGACCTAGAAAAAAAAATTGATTATTTTGGCACTATATACATCACAGAGATGTCCATCGCGGCTGAAAATCTGCCGCTGCCGCGCCGCGACGGTTTATAAAAAAATGTTGCCGCGACGCTGCCGCGCCGCGATGACTTATAAAAGAAACGCTGCCGCGATGAATTATAAAATAAACGTGCCGCCACCGCGCCGGCTTTCAAAAAAGTGTTTCTGATTTCACTGCTATGACTATATTTGACCAGAGATATGGGTACTAGTCCATCAGATTTATTCAATATCAGGGCGTTTTATTTGTAAATCCTGAAATTCTATTAAACTCATACAGTTTTTCAATGTCCTCCAAAAAAAATCCTGCCGCTGCCGCGCTGCTGCCGCGATGGTTTTTTAAAAGCCCTGCCGCTACCGTGCCGCTGCCGCGATGACTTTTAAAAAAGTCTGCCGCTACCGCGCCGCTGCCGCGGTGATTTTTTAAAAAACCTGCCGCTGCCGCGCCGCCACCGCCATCGCGGCAGCGGCAGCGGCAGCGCCGCGATGGACATCTCTGATACATCATATAGAAACTTTGATCATATCTCAGGATAGAAACGATTTAGAAAATAATTCTTTCTCGTTAAGATCTATGTTTGTGCAAAGCTTCGAAATTAAGAAATCCGTTTACCTAATACTCTTGAAAAAAACCACGATATGAAGTTAAAAAAATACTGTAAAAATATATTTATATTTTATTAGACTGTACAAAATTTCTTTTAGTCATGCCTCTAATGCAATGAATCAATTACGAGACTTTTCTCCTAAGTGAAACAAGATATAGTCTAAAAATATATTAATCTCTGTAGACCTTCCTTGTGAAGTTATGACTATTTCACCTGAAAACCAATCTCAGGATCCTTAGAATATCCTTCAAGTTTCAGTTAAAACTTTCAGGACAATCTAAAGACCATGACACTATTGATGAATAAAAGTTCTTGTTTTCTATAAATGTTTTACTATCAGGAGAAAATTAGATAAAACAATCATCCTAATTCCTTAAAGATAATTTATAGTAAATAATAGAGAAAAATAACTTACATCATCAATATTTGTAACATTCATTCGACGACCTCGTATTAAACCTGAATTATCAACAATAGTTGATGTTTTAACAATTGATTGATCAACACCTTCAATTAATACCCAATTACCAACTGGAACTCGATTAAGTTCAATACGATATCTAAACAAAATCAAATAAAAAATTATTTTTTTCTTTTCATAACAAAGCAACAATAAACAAAACAAAAAAAACCTATCATACTAACCGAGCATTAAATACCCATAAACGTCCAACAGCACATGAAAATGAATCTTCAGGATCTTTCAAACTATAATTTTCACCTAATATTCGTACATCTTGTCCTGATTTAAGTGTACCACAAAAAATTCTTCCTAAAACATGAAATGATGTTGCATCTGATGTTGAATAATTTTTTGTTGTATGAATAATTACAGGTGCCTATTAGAAGAAAAACAAAAAAAAATAAGATAGAATTGAAAATTTTTAAAAACAAAATATTTTTGAACTTTTTCTCTTAAAGCTAGAAGAATGAATTTGATTAATTAAATTATTCAATAGATTTAAAAGATTACTTTTAAATTAATATTTAACTTACATCAGGATTACAATTATTCATATCTGTTACAATATCTTCTTGTAAACTACCAGTATATAAATGTTCAATTTTATTTTTAGCATTTACAATTGGTGATGGAATATGTTGAACAATCATATCAGTAAAACCTTTAAATTCACCAAAAAATCGAGCACAAACAAGACGAAGTAATGGACGTATATTAAGTTTTAATTCAGTTTTTGATAAACGAATACCTAATTCATCAATAACACCAGGAAGTGTTATATCAACATCACCAACTACCTATAGAAAATAAAACAAAAAAAATTGTTAGCATACAATCACAAAAGTTTATGTTAAATAATTTACATGAGCTAGAATTTTATAAAGTGGTTCAAGAATAAATTGAACAAATGAACGAGATGAATTTGCTGTAGCACCTTTTTTACCAAATGTTCGTCTATATAAGAAAAAACGATAATAAACAAAAATTATGTATTTATATATTTACGTTTTAGTATTGTAATAAATATCACCCCATAATCGTTTTGCTAATGTTTGATAATCAAATGTATTACCTTAAAATATATTCAATTAATTTTGATTTCAAAAAGAAA